TGTATCCGCTCGGCCTCCTCGTACTTCCCCTGGCTGTCAAGTACACTCGCGAGGTTGTTCATGCTGGTGAGTGTGTCTGGATGCTCCTTGCCCAACACCTTTTCCCTCAACCCCAATGCCTGCCGGTGTATCCGCTCGGCCTCCTCGTACTTCCCCTGTCTCCCAAGTACACTCGCAAGGTTGTTCATGCTGGTAAGTGTGTATGGATGCTCCTTGCCCAACACCTCTTCCTTCAACCCCAGTGCCTGCCGATGCATCCGCTCCGCATCTTCATATTTTCCTAACTGGTGAAGACCCTCACCTACATTAAATATAAGACCTATCAGTGCGTCCCCGTCTTCTATGCTCTTCCGCAACTCAAGAGCGCGCTGTGTATGCGGAAGATACCGTATCCATTCTTCCCTGTTTTCGTGTTTTGGAGAAGGAAACACGTCTGCAAGCCGTTGTAGCACTTTGGCGGCCCATTCCCCCTGCTCTCCACTTTGAGCTAACCAAGAGAGCATCGATATTTGAACTAGCCGATGGATGTTGTAAGTATCTGACTCCTTATGCTGTGAGATGAATGCATATGCCTTTAGAGTCCCAAGTGCGTCAATAGTCTTTAGCCTCCCAGACGGCGGCAGCAGAGCTTGCGGAATATCCTTCCCAGCTAGAAAGCACATAAACCTGAGGTAATTGGCTGCCAGCGGGTCGTGCTCCGAGATGTGCTGGAACGAAATCAGCCAAGTTGTGGCGACAGGGTTTTGGATGTCCTTATATCGATGTCGGTCCTCAAAGTCCCGGCTTAACAGCTCGATCATATCCTCGTCACTGGAGTTGCATAGCTCAAGGTATTGCGTAGTCGAAATCTGCTTCTTGCCCATATAAGCAGAGGCCTGCCGTATTGCTAGGGGGAGATTGCAAAGAAATCCCAGCAGCGCATCAGTGCTTGCCACATCGCCTATCTGATTCCCCTTCAACCCTTTCTGCAACAGCTCAAGGGCTTCGTCTCTGCTCATTTCTTCAACTGGGATGATGCGACGCTCAGACTCGACTAGCTCTACCGCAACTTCGTGATTTCGCGTTGTAAACAGAATAGATCCT